TCTCTCCAGCTGCCCAGAAATGGGCACTTCCAAACGACAGCTTCTTCCTCTTCCTCTCTCTCTCTTTTTTTAAAGATTTTATTTTTAAGTGACCTCTACACCCAACGTGGGGCTGGAACTCACAACCCTGAGATGAAGCGTCGCAGGGTGCTGACTGAGCCAGCCAGGCGCCCCTTCCTCTTCCTCTTGGAAAGCACGTCCCTGCTGAATGAGGGAGCAGCTGGGAGGGAAAAACGAGCTTGCTGAATTTCTACAGCCACGGCTTTGTGTTTTAATTTACGTCGAAATCTATTTTATATCAGGACGTGTTCTTCCAGCAAAGGACATAGAAGGGCAGAGAAGGTCTTGCTTTTATGTTTGTAAAATGGAAAAATAACAGATATCCCTCCCACCTACAAATGCAGATGGCCTGATGATTCACCTCTGCTTTCCACCAGTGGTTTGGCAGCCCCGCCTGCACTTTAGAACCATCTACGAAGCTTGTAAAAATCCTAATAACGCACAGGCTATTTCCCAGGCTCATGAAGTAAAAGCCTCTGGCGGTGGGGTGCAGGCACTGGTATTTTTTGAAAGCCCCCACCCCTGGGAGTTTCCAGGGTGCACTCAGGTTGGCATGGCTACCTCGGTGTTTAGGAGTGGTAAACATCTGCCTTCTCCCTATCTTGCCAACTCCAGTTGAGCAGGGAAACGCCGACCAACAGATTCCAGGAAGAATCACCACTTTCCCGTTCCATTTGAGAAAAGACCAAACACTTGCCTCTCTGCTTGAAAACTGTGGAAATTTATGGATACTAGAAAGATGTCATTGGAACAAGTATCTGTAAAAGATAAAGAATTAGCATTTTTCACAAGTTAACAGGCCTAAGGATGACCTTGAACCTGCTGGGTGAGTAGACATAAGGAAGACCATGGACTGAGCATCCAAATACCAGACAGAATGAGGGGCGCCTGGGTGGCTTGGTCAGTTAAGTGAATGACTCTTGATTTCAGCTCAGGTCATGATCTCATGGTTCATGAGTTCAAACTCCACATCAGGCTCCGTGCTGACAGTGCGGAGCCTGCTTGGGATTCTCTCTTTCATTCTCTCTCTGCCTTTCCCCCGTTTGCATGGGCGCTCTCCCCCCCGCCTCTCTCTCTCTCAAAGTAAATAAAACAAATTTTTTTTCATAAAAAATAAAGAAAAACAACAACCAGAGACAAAAAGGTTAAGAATATCTGGCTCACTGAATACATCACAAAGGGCCCTGGCCATGACTTGATTGACTTTCTTCGCCTATGGCAACAGATCTGTTTCCAAGGACGTGGACAAGAGAAGATTCTTCTGAGCATGTGACTATAAAGGGTTGGGGCTGTAAGTGTGGGAAGGTTTGTGTGCGTGTGCAGACACACTCGTGTACGCAGGCAAGAAATCTCCCTCTGGGGAAAAGTTACTAGACAGACTGGCACCTGCAAACTCCTATTTAAGGATGAGAAAGGCCAGGTCACCCAACCACTCGCCTCATTTCTAAAACTAAGTGGGTGGGGACGCAATGGCTGGCTCCATCAGTGGACAGTGCGACTCTTGACCTCGCAGTCATGGGTTTAAGCCCCCACACTGCATATAGGGATTACTAAAACAAAATAATAAACTTAAAAAAAAACCTAAGTGGCTAGATGAGATGAACCCAGGGAATTTTCTTCTGATGCCAATATTCTCTTGAGCATCTCCCCTACTGCTCACAGTAAATTCTGCAGGATTCCTGAGTTCCCTCTCCCTCTCTCTCTCTCTCTCTCTCTCTCTCACACACACACACACACACACACACACACACACACAGTTTTCAGTGACACTGAGAAGCCTCTTCTCCAGGTCATTATCACCTCCTGGCTCACAGTCCTGATCCTGACAAGGGCATTCTTATTGGACAATCACCACTTCAGCTTTCAAGGGTAAAGCAAGCCAGCACTATTTAAACACCACACTAAGCTTTTTAGCTACACTTGGCCTAATGAAGGCTCTGAGCATGGGTGTGGGCCCCAGGATTGCGTCCACTTCCGTCCTCCTCCCCTGGTCCGAGGCCACGGTGACCCTGAGGGGAGCGGTCGGGCCGGAAATGACGGGCACCCTGCTATCTCAGCAGCATCCAGTCGAGAGCGCCCTCTCTGCCCATGCCAGCCAGGGCACTGCTCTGAAGTGGATAAATTGGTGGGTTTCACTGGATACCCTTCCAACGAAATGATGTTTCCTCTTTAGTAGTCACTCCCCAAGGATGTGCCAGTAACATAGAAGCCAATTAAGATGGTAATCTCAGAATTAGGTTACGACACTTAAAATGTTTTCTTCTTAAATCTATTCACTCACACACTCAAAAACCACTTCCTGAGGGCCTTCTGTGTGGCAGGCAGTGAGCAATGTGCTGGGGCCACGCAGACGAGAGAGGCCGGGAAGGCGCTGCCGGCATCTGGAGGTCGCCAAGCCCTGCCCCACAGCCACACCGAGCTCTGCGTTTCACCCCCTCATCCCCAAAGTGGGAAGACAGCAGCTGCCTTACGGAGCTCCCAAGACGAGTCCGAGAGACCGCGCCAGCACAGCGTCGTCCACACAGCAACACAGCCCCTGACGGCTAAAGACTTCCAATGCGTAAGGGAAACACACCATGAACACGAAATGGATGATTCTTCCAACCATGGGGATGCTGGGAAGAATTATTTTGGTCTATGACAATTTGAAGATAGACACGTGGAAAATCAAATAACAATGGGTCCCTGCATATGCCGTCCAAGGGCACAACCTGGTTTTCAAAGACAAGCATCCCCAGGGTGGTCAGTGAGATCCCGCGCCTGGGTAGGGACGGCAGCCTGCCTGTGCCACTCTAACTTCTGAGAGAGAACACACTAACTCGCCAAATGCCCCAATGGGAAGTCCTAGCATCACCTCACCCTGGAGAGGCATGGGCACTTGGACCAGATAAACGTCACGACAGCACAAATGCTCCTTTTCCCCTGACTGATTCAGCAGGGAAAGCTCTGGATGAGTAGTCAAAGGACTCCCTAGTTTCATCACACAATGAAGCGCAGGTTTAGGGCAGGGTCCAGGCAAAGTCACCTGACCACGTCACTGGAACACCTTCAAGATAACCTGTCCTACGTGTGCAAATGAGAAAATCCTGCCTACCTGATGGGGCCAAGCTGGAGTCAAGGGTGATGGTGTGTGAGGTTATTTTCAAGATCTAATGCCACACCCAGTGAATTAGGAAAGGACAGTGTGCTCAGCCTTCTCTCAGGCCGTTAGAAACTGCATGGACCTCTCTTCCATTGTTTCATGAAACCACAATTTGGCCGAAAAGCTCTGAAAAGCCAATCACTCACTCTTCGCAAACAAGAAGAAAGGAAGTATTAAAGCTTCAGTTTGCTAACTATAGTCCTTTGTTGCTAAGTTGGCCAGCAGGCCAGACTGCTGATAAACAAGGATGTGGTCAGTTCTTTTAAGGATTTCACTTCCCTTTGAGAGGCAATGCTTTCTCCTGAGATTCCCAAGCCACCACAGCATTTTCATCTGCAATGTTTGCAAAGCGATCTCCCATTCTATGTACAGTGAGCTCTGCTCAATCACTGAACTTCACACCGAAGACGAGAGGGCTGGTTTGGAGGCAAGAATATTTCTTCAACTAAACTCATTTTATGATACTGCGCTAGGCTTGGGTGAAATCAGTAAGAAAGCCACAGGAAAGCACCTTAGTTCTCAGCTAAAGAAATACAAAGGCTAATCATAAATGCTTAGCAAAATAAAATCTCGGGGTGTCTTTTTTTTTATTAAATCAAAACCATCCCTGGCCAGACGAGAGACGCCTCACGACCGCCCCATTTAACCATCTGGAAATACTTTCTATGTTCAATTTTTGGAGGAGTTAAAAAGAGAGACAAAAAAGACAGCTTTCAAAGGTAAAGAACTTGCCATGTACAGCCTTTATAAAAATAGAGTCAAAACCATGATTCAGGAATAAGCTCTTTTAATATAATGTTAGGCAAGCCATCTAACCTCTGTGTTCTTTATTCCTCTTTGTATAATTAGCACTTGTTAAGATAATAAAAGCCACAGGTAAAAGTTCCAAAAGACTGAGAAGGCAGAAATGTTCACTCTTCCGTCCGTCATCGCTATCTTTAGCTGAAGAAAAGCTTTCTGAAAAGCTGAATGATTCTGACCACCAAACTCAGCCTTCGAGCTGGAATTAAACCACAGGATGAAAACCACACCTGACTAGGGAAGGTGAACCAGGCGAACTATTAAACGTTTCTTCCAGAAGTGGCTGTTCTAATTTGTGGAGGCTGTCACAGATTACGCAATTCTTACGACACAGAAATTTGTTAAGTCTCAATTAAAGCCCTCATCAACAGCGAGGGAAGCAAATCCTAGGCGGCTGACCAAATTCAAGTACAGCCCAACAGGAAGAACAGAGTCGGAGCAACTCTTCCTGCGTGGCAACTGGGGCCAGATTTACTTTGAAAATGCCATGGACCACCAACTACCACCACCACATGCAACTAACGAGACAAAGCCAACCAACTAACCCTACTACGTTGAGCCATAAAATAAGCGAGTGTAAGGAAATCCAACCAAGTTCTGTTTTGCCTCCTGGGCAGTATGGAACATTCTGTGGAATCAAATTATTTCCAGAAACAGCTTTGGGCGCTCCTGTTTTGCTGGTGTCCTAAACATCTGCTTAATTCTAGTCCCCTCTTAGAGGCTGAAGAAGAGAGTCTTAAGAGAGATTCTTTACCTCCCCAACCCTGGAAAGTATCAGGATTGAAACTGGAGTCATCCCATCCCTTGGGCATACACTGCTGGCAAAACAAACAAGGATTCATTTTGCAAGAACCTTTTTTAGGAAGAAGGGAAGACTCAGCCAAACCTTCTCTCTTTTACAATGCACTTTTTCCCATCAAAAATGATTATTTGAACCAAATTTACCTCTCTGGGGAGAAGACATTCTAATCAGACCATCTCTTAACTAAAAACATACCTGAGTCATTCATGCTGCTATTCCTCTTGGCGTACGCGCTCCGGACCACCTGCTCGTAGACCTGAGCTCCGATGGTTCTCATGTTGTCCCGGATCAGGATGCCTTGAGCCTGCATCATGAAGAGGTAGGTGTTCACTGCAGAAAAGAGAAGAGAAGAGGGGAAAGAGGTGAATTCAAAGGCAATCATGAAAACTAAACAAAATAAACACACATACTTTGGCTCGCTTCCTTGCTTTCTTTAAAAAAACTTTTTTTCGGCTCTAAAACCCCAAAGTGCTTCGACTCTTATTTTTCTTTCCTCGGCTCTATGTTTCTAGGACACCAGATGCCTTGGGTGGTCTGGTAGGACCGAGGGGGCATTTCTATCAATATTCAGCCTGAGGAAAAAACAAACAAACGCACAAATTTCAAAAACTCTCTTCCACCGGGTCTTCAAATCGCCAATCGGTGTTCTGGCGCTGGGATGATCACAAAACCTTTCTGGACAGATTAAAACATTTAAAGAAGATCTCATCTTGCTTTTAAGTTCGCCTTCTCGACGGTCACTGGTTACGAAAGGAAACCACTGACCGCTCTGCCTACTGGAAACGTAGGTCCAGACCTGGTCTTGGCAACCTTCCCAAAGTGCTGTACTAAGGCCCCAGCCAGTTTCCTTTGGGGAGATTTGGGGAGAAGAAGACAGTGAAAGACTGTCAGCCGTCTGACTACCCACCCACCTCAGCCCTGAAGCCCAAAGCAAATGGGAGAAGAGCAGGTGCTCGGTCCACGTGTCACCTGGAACATTCCCCCTTCACACTCTACACAGTAATGAACTTCTGTGCGGCACACCTGACACAAATATGTCAACCGACCCTGAATAAAACCGAACTGAAAAACGTATTCGCAACAAATGATCACTCGGATAGGCTGTCCAATCATTGTCATCTCTGGGGAGTGAGCTCCGCTGGAGTTTTCTGGAGTGTCCCTGAGATGTGAAACTGGGGCTGGGGGGGGGGGGGTCACAATTACACACGAGCAGGGTTCCTGCAGTCCCCTTGTAGTCTCGGCGACCAGGACATCCATTTTCAAGAAATGGTAAAGTTTTAAGACACACACACCCTCTTACACAGCCATCCCAAGGTCCCCATGCTGACGCCTCACAGGGGCCGCACGTTTATAGATCTCAACTCCGGCGTGTGCTGGAGAAGCTCTGAACACCTGGCCAGCCTCCCGCCAAGTACCAGGCAGGTATATGGCCCACAGTCTGGGCCACTCTGCCAGACTCCATACACGTGGCCTCGGGCTGTCCTGGCTCTTCCAATAGACATACTTCGTGGACACTGCTTCATCAGTATCATCACAGTGTCCTGCACACAATGGGCAGTAAATAAGGGCTAAATGGATGAAACGTAGAAGTCAGTTTATTTTACTTCAAGCTACCATGTTCGCTGCTTGCACCAGCGACAGGGGTATGGGTGGGGATGGGGACGCATCACTGGGCACAGCGCTCCATGAAAAACCCCAGATGGCCCATGTTAAACAGGGACATAAGATACTGCAAAAGGTTTCAATGATCCCAAAGGTCTATCCGGAGCCATAAAATTAAAAAAAAAAAAAAAAAGAAAAGAAAAGTCAATGTTCAGAATGCTTTCGGAGGAAATGAGGCAGTTTCAAAGGAGGCCTTGCACCGACTGGAGGACAGACCACACGTTAACTTCTGGCGTCAGCAGGCAGGAGATCAGATAGAGTGCTTATTCTCGGTAGCCAGAAAAGTTATGGCAAACGATGGCTTCAAATCCTTAAAAAAGTGTAATTCTGTGAGGCCTCTGAAGCAAGAGTCACATCCCACTTTCTATTTACAGCAGATAGACAGCACAATGCCCAGTCACAGGAGGCAGGCATCCAGAAATATCCCTCAACAGAAGATTTAAACTCCATCCAGTAACAAATTTCTAATGTAGTTTCATGGTGTCTTTTATCATCATAATATGTACATTACACATATTATAACTGCCCTGAAATCTTCCTTCCAGCCCCAACATGCTACTAAACCAGCTGTCTTCAGTAACATAAAAACAGAGATTTGTTAAACTTTGTGTGTAAAGCTGTTAGCTGGGCACTGCGAAAAATACACTGCTTTCCTTTCCCTAAGTTTCACAGTCGGTTCGGTGCTTGTATCTTCTGCACTGCACAGGACACTGTTCTGGGCCCCTTAAATTCTCTCCCTTTCTTTGTTCTGGAATCCGAAGGGTAGGATTCCTCTGGGGACAGTCCTCAACTTTTCCCTGCCTACCACCTTGCAGAGCTACATGGAGCCTGAGGAGAGCCCATGAATTTGCACTTGTAGCAAGCTCACAGGTGATACCAATGGGGGAGGGGGGCTCTGAGAACAGCTCCAGAATCAGGGCTCTAGGGAAGTGCAGCCACATAATAATAGTAAGTAACACTGACTGAGCACTTCGTTACGTAATTCTTTATCTCATTTAATCCTCATAATTATCCTAAGAGGCAAGTAAGAACTATGCAACTTACAGTCAGTTTCTAGGCTTTAGGTTCTCTATGCAGTTTCACCAAGCTCAGCTGAGCAATGGCCCGCAGCAGGTGCGCCCATGCTCAGAGGACTGAGCTTTAGGACCCGCTCTGGCCACAGCCTCTCCCTCAAAGATTGCAGGTACCCACGTGGCTTATGTGGTTCCTGTTAAGGAGCTAGCTCTCCAGCCTTTATCTCCTACACAAAGCTGCCAGATGGATCTTTCTTAATTACAGATTTATCCACACTGCTCCTGCTTAAAAGCCTCCATCAGGGAGCTTCCGTGCTCCTGTCCTCCACACACATCTCGTTAACCCTTCAACTCCCAGTTACACTCCTTTAGTCCTCTTCAAATTTCTGTGGTACTCTTACAGATTATCAGAAATTTGCCCTCTGTTTATATTTTGTCTTAGTTTCCTAACAACTGTCACATGCGTTAGTCTTCCCATTCGACTAACAAATTTACTCAAACCATCTATTCATGCTTTTTCTAATTATCTGCAGGAATCACCACAATGCTAGAAAAAAAAGACTGAGGCAATACATTTTGCCAAACAAAAGAAAATAAACACAAATTCATAGACTCAAAATTGGATGAGATTTTGAAAAACACTCTTCAAGCCTATTTACTACTTCCACATCAACCCAGAGCTGTGCCTTCCACAAAGACTGAATCTATGTAAAACACAGCCAACTTCAAAGAAAATCCTCCTCTGAGATGGGTCCAAAATGTCTTCCCATCACTTTTACCCACCGGTAAAATTCACATCTTCGTGAAGTCAATATCATCTTGATTTTTTATTTGAGATAAAGAAGTCAAGTCCTCCAGAAGTCATTTACCCAAGGTCATACAGTCAGTGAAGTCAAAAACAGACAGGTGATAGGGTGCCTGGGTGGCTTAGTCGGTTAAGCGTCCGACTTTCGCTTAGGTCATGATCTCACGGTTCGTGGGTTCGAGCCCCGCGTCGGGCTCTGTGCTGACTGCCAGCTCAGAGCCTGGAGCCTGTTTCAGAATCTGTCACTCCCTCTCTCTCTGACCCTCCCCTGCTCACGCTGTCTCTCTCTCTCCTAGAAATAAATAAAAATATAAAAAAAAACAAAAACAAAAAAACCCAGACAGGTGAGGTTAGGTGTGCCATGACATTTTGGGAAAACAGTACTTCCCAATAATATCGTCTTGATCAACCGTGGCTGAACCACAGCTAAAACAACCCCTCCCCCCAAAAAAACCCAATGAATTTATTTATTAGTATTATTTTTTAAAACTTGATTTAGGGGCACCTGAGTGGCTCAGTCGGTTGAGTGTCCGACTTCGGCTCAGGTCATGATCTCGCAGTCTGTGGGTTCGAGCTCCGTGTCGGGCTCTGTGCTGACAGCTCAGAGCCTGGAGCCTGTTTCAGATTCTGTGTCTCCCTCTCTCTCTGCCCCTTCCCCACTCATGTTCTATCTCTCTCTGTCTCAAAAATAAATAAAAACCATAAAAAAAAATTTTTTTTAAACCTGATTTAAACTGGCACTCTGTTGTTCAGTCCTCCATTGTGTCAACAAGTATCTGCTGAGTGAGCACCTGCTTTCCTGGGTGCTCCTGACAGGCAGTACTAGGTCACTGGGGCCCAGGATGAGTAAGACAGCACAGAGTAAGGTACAGACACAATTAAACAATTATAATGCAGTGTGATAAGTGTTAAAATAGCACTTACTACAAATTCAGGCTTACTATTAACTTCTTTACACTTTCACAAGAAACCATGATTATGATCCAGCCCCAGTATCTAGGTTAAGGGATCTCTCTTATGACCATAATGCAGTTGAGAAAAATAAGCCCTGTTCGGGTGTACACAATTGGAAATTTCCATCCCTGTGCCAGCGTAAGCAGCCTTGGGCCACGGCTTTAACTAGATCATTTGCGGAAGCAAAGCCCTGGGTCTCCTAAACCGGAAGGCATACTCTCCCCTCTCTGTTAGAATTCCGGTCAGCCTCCACATCCTTATGAATCAGGTAAATGATTTTCACTTGAACACACACATTAACAAGTGACTCTGACTCACAAAAATTCCTTACGAGACAGTGAGATCTGACATTCCAGATTAGGAGCAAAATCATTTGAGCGAAAGACAAAATTATAGAATTCTACATATTTAGAGAGCTCATTATTTTTTAATCCTCAACATGTGTGTCCTTAATGTTGGTTACATCTGGCTCGGTAAGCTAAAAGTAGAAAAAAAGCCATTCTTTTCCTGACCGCCCTTTAAGACCTGTGTCTTACCCCAACACCGGACACCCCAACACGCACCCGCATGTGTGCACACCCACAGCCCAATATGCCTTCCGGTTTTATTTTCCCGGCTCACACACTATACATTTTCTTCTTTGTCTTGTCTGTGGCTACTTCCCTCACTAGAATGGGAGCTCCCTGAAGGCAAGGAGCTATGCCCCTGGCAGCTAGGGCAGTGGGTCTGGAACAAGGAAGGTGCACAGCAAATCTGTAAACAAGTGATTAAGTCAGGACGATAAACGGAGTCTTCTGAATGAGGCTGTGCCCTAGCAGGTACAGATAATGGGATTCCAAGCCGTTCTCGTACACCACCTCCCACTCCTTTATGAGAGGAACCCAAAATGTTCCCTG